GGAAGAGGGAGGTGGTTAATAGAGATTATAAGGAGCTAATATATTCTATCAGGAAAAAAAAAAATTCTGCAAGCTTTTAAATGCTAAGCTAAACAACAGGGGAAATGATAACAGTCTGAAAGTTACTATAATTACAAAAAAAGGAATAATAATTTTATCTCTTGACCATGTAAATCATCATTCCTAATTCAAGTCCATTTTATCCTCTACCCCTTCTTAATACTTCCAAATCACCATTTTTGCTGTAAAATGAACAGCTTTCCTAGGTGGTAATTCTTACTCTATTTTGAAGAAAAATAAATAAATATAAACAACCTCATCTTCTGAATACTAGGAATTACATCATTGTGGAAATTGGGTTTCTTTTTGAAGTGCTTCATCTATCATTGGTTCTAGCTTTTTAAAAAAAAATCCCTAGAATCATAAAACAATTGTTACCTGCTTTGCTAACATGTAATACTCTAGTCAGAAATCATCTTGGAGTGAGGTGGGAAGGAAGGGTTATCATGGTTTTTAGCATTCTCACTTTCCAGCCTCTCTGTCCCTTTCTTAGACCCTGTTTGTCCCCTGAAGCAGAGCTCGAGACAGGAAGCCAGGCAGCAGTCTACCCCAATAGGGAAGAGCATTGTCCAGAGGAGGTGGCCCCACTCCCCACCCCACCCCGAAACCCCACCTCTTTCCTTGAAATTTAGCAATAATAAGAGAGACATAATGCTAGAGCCACCGTTTCTGAACCAGAACTAGGACTGTTTTCTCTCAAATATATATATATATCTCCTCTTAACTGGCTGTGTGCTTTTCCTGAAAAGTCACCATAATTCAATGGACCATTTTTAAAAATTATCAGTATATTTTGTACCCCTCAGTCAGAGTGTTTATAGTAAAGTTCTTTCTCTAACAAAACAGGTTCCTGGATCTTTTTGAAACTCACTCTATTGTGTTGCTAGGCCGAATACATTATCATCCCCCCCCCATCTAATGATTAGGGGAGCTGGAGACAGAATCTAGCAAGTTAAGTGGCTCTTCAGCCCATGCATTCCTTGTAACCCTGGATCTGGCTCTTGCCCTGATTTCCATGAAGGGGGTGTTTTCTGCCCCCTTCCCGGAGGACCCTGAAGAGCCCAGATTAGCTTGAGGCATGCTCTAGATCAGCGGTTCTCAAACTGTGCGCCGCGACCCCTTTGGGGGTCGAACGACCCTTTCACAGGGGTCGCCTAAATACATCCTGCATATCAGATATTTACATTGGGATTCATAACAGTGGCAAAATTACAGTTATGAAGTAGCAACGAAAATAATTTTATGGTTGGGGGTCACCACAACATGAGGAACTGTATTAAAGGGTCGCGGCATTAGGAAGGTTGAGAACCACTGCTCTAGATGGTTACCAATCTCTGGCAGGCTTGAGGATCTCCAGGCATGGCCTGGAGCTAGTCTCAACCCAGATCAGTGGAGTGCGGCCAAATGTAGATGTAGGAGATCCAGTGGACATGGAGGTGAGTGCGTCTACCCTGGAGAGCGACCTGGGAACCAGGTGTGGGTTTTTTCTCCTTTGGCCTATAAGCTCTTTATACTAATTACTGTCCTTTGAGTCTAATCACTGAAATCCACTCCTTTATCTGTTCCTGCACTTTATACCCTGGTACCTTCCAAAGCATTGCACCCCAAAAGGACTTTCATTAGTCAGTTCAAGTTCCTGCTCCACTTAGTTCTCCAAACAAGGGAGTTATTCTCTCCTGAGCCTCCAGAAGTTTTCACCTTTACTTTGTGTTTTAGGTTTTAGAAGGTGACTTTTCAGACTAGTTTCACTGTGTGACTCCTGGTAGGAGGTCATTCTGTGGCCCTTGCCCTTCCTTTTAACCTAGGATGTGAGAAGTGTAGATTCATTTATTCATCTCCCAAGTGTTCGTTGAACACCTACTCATTAGAGCTAATCTCAAATTATGTGCAGTCATTCTCCTTAGTTGTGCCGCAGGATGGAGTCGGTCCAGAGTGCTCTAACCAGAAAGGCGTTTTGAAATCTTAATTGCCCGCTGGAACCTCCCTTGGCCCAGCCAAGCGAGCATGGGCCGGTGTGGCACTGCACACCACACGTCCCACACCCTCCGTTACCAGGGAGTGACCCCAGTGTGAGATGATTTCACTTAAAAGTCGGTCCCACGGCACAGACTGAAGCAGAACAGAAAGAGCCATGGTCTACAGGCAGACACGCTTTGGTTCTTGGCTGCAGCTCCAAGCAGCTCTGCAAATTCGGGCGAGCCATTTCACCTCTGTTCCTCCATTTCCTCATTTCTAAAATGGGGATGAGGACCTGACCCTTCCACCTTTGTACAGTGATTATGAGGATTTCCGTATTTACTTGAGTGGAGCTGCCAATTTTCCTCGGCAGTTTTATGGACCAGTTGCAGGTGCGTTGGCTAGGAAGAAGAATAGCCTAATTTAGGGCCTTCAGAATGTGCCTTTTGATCTTGTGTCCAAGCATGCACTCTAGGAGAGAAGGTAGACATCAGGGACCCAGTTGGGAGGGACTGAAATCGCAGCTACTGTAAAGACGCTGTCCCCCAATGCCCTATGCCCCATGGACAGATCTGTTCACAGAAATCGCTATCCCATTATTGCTGTTGGTGGTGTGATGTTGTCCTCTGCCCAAGGAAGGAGAGTGGGGAAGGAAGTAGCCTTGAAGTCAGGCTACTTTGGGTTCAAATCCCAGCTCTACAACTTAGCTGCTGTGTGATCTTGGACAGATTGCTTTGCCTCTCTGTTCTAGTGTTCTCATCAGTAAAATGGGAAGGTCGTACCGACCTTGTGGGCTTTGAATGACACAGTCCCTGTAAAGAACCACCTGCAGATTGGCAGTCATAAAGGTGGTAAGGATCAACAGGAAACGCCTGGTTTTCCTTGGTCAAGGGAAGTATGCTTTTCAAAAAAAACCTAGTGTTTTTTTGTTACACATACACCCTCCCTCCCTCCTCATGCAATTGCGCTCTCTCTCTCTCTCTCTCTCTCTCTCTCTCTCTCCCCCTCTCTCCTATTTTAGGCTCTCCAACAGTAGAAACCTTGACACTAGACATGTTTAGAAGATCTCTCTGTGTGGGTAATAAAATATTCTTTGAGGATGAAACTGATAAGGTTTCTGGAGGACTCCTAACAGGCAAGATTAAGGTTAGGAGCAAAAGCTTTTTATTTTATTTATTTTTTTAAGAGAAGTTTAGTTTCCTTTAGGGTTAGGTCTGGTCTGCCTCATGCCCATTAATTATTTAAGGGAGATTCCAAGTGCATGCAAAGGGAAGAGCAAATGACCGTGGAACTCTTGCCATGGACTGAGTTCTCTTATATTGGCTCCTTGTGCCTGACCAAAAAAAATGTCCTTTAGTGGACAAGCCTGATCTCCTATGGGGAGGGAGGCCTCCAAGGGAGTATACTGCATGCCCAGGTGCTGGTCTGAGACCCACCTTTGGCAAGTGAGAAGGCCCAGCCTAGCTAGGTAAGAAGGCGGCCTCAGAGGTACCAGGGTGCAGTCAGCGGCTGCACAGAGTGGGGTGGGCCTTGAGCTGGTCTTTGAAGAATTAGGAGGATTTAGATTACCCGGAAGGGGACGGGGCATTCCTCGCAGGTTGCCCAGCATCAGGGCCAAAAATGAACAAAGGCATTGGGGGTGGGGGACGGGGCAGCCAGCATGAAGGGTGCTTGTTGGAGCAGGGGGGCAGCTGGTTGGTAGAGGGGTGCTGAGCATGGGTTCTTGAACCCACTCCCCAAGCCCTGGGGATCCCGTTGGAGGGAGGAACGTCTGTGAGCTTAGGAACGACTAGATGAGTAGAGGGCTTTGAGAAATGTAGGAGGCAAGGGGATTGGGATGGGTTGGAGGTGGGGAGGCCAGTGGAGGAAAAAACCCCAGTAACAGGGTCCTGAGGCACTGAGGGCCTGGCCTCGGAGGGCAACTGCAGAAATGGAAAGAGGTTTCCAGGCTGAATGACCAGAAAAAAAGAGCAAGTGGGAGGTGGGGGCCAGCCTGGCAGCCTTTTCAAGGCAGGAGTGAGGAGGAGGACTTGGTTTGGGGACATGTTGAATTAATTCTCTTACATAGCCCGGGTTCCAGTACTTTTCTCTTCCCTTTTTGTTTACTTTGAAGGGAGAGGGCAGTTATTAGCTCATGGTTCATAGCCAAAGGTTCCGGGGTGCTATGAGATAAACTTTTAATGGAGAATTCGCTGGAGCTCAGGGAATTGCCACCACCCTGGCGATTCTTTCTGGTTATTTTTAAGGTTCCAGCCATCACTGCTGAGGCCAGAGTTTCCAGGAACTAGCTGCTGGCTGGAGCCAATTGGTCCCTCCCAGCCTCCCACTCCCTGCAGGGTGGGGCCCCATGGGTGGAGGCCCCTGAGGGTGGAGTGGGGTGGGTCTCCAGTGATAGGGCACCAGCAGAGCGAGGCAGCCTGGCCTCACACAGCCCTTCTGGATTTGATTATATAACACTCCACAGAAGAGGACTGCGAGGGCTTGGGCAGCCTTATAAGATACAAAGATATGTGCACAGCAGGATTGTGCATCATGGGAATTTTTCAATGGATCTTGGGTTGCTTGCCCTTAAAACTAAAATACGAAATTGTCAGCCTAAAGGAGGAAAACAAGCGTGTAACCCTAGTAGGGAAAACGACGAGGGTTTGCTAAAGTTTCCTTTAAGAAAGGTATGGAATGCTACTAACCACAGGTGGCTGTGAACTTGAGAGTTTACCTACCGGGTCTGGGTTGGGTTTCCCCACCCCCACCCCTGCATAGCCAGACCTCCTTCTGCTAAAGTGTAGGGATTGTGCCTGGTTGTTACCTTTGCACCTGTCCTTATTTACATGCAAAATCAATTGCTTCACTCCGTCTTTCCGAAGTACAGGGTGTGGGCAGAATCTTATCTGAAGCCGTGTCCTGTTTGGACAAGTTGGACTCGCCTTGGCAACTGTCCATAGGGTGGAGCAGATGGGTGGAGGCAGGAAAGTAAAATTGGGTGGCTTGTTAGCCGAGAGAGGAGAGAGGGCGGATTGTTTGCTCACTGGATCATTATATTTAATCTGAAACTAAATAATTAACTTCTTTCCCATCTACAAAGCATTTCGATGCAAAATAACTAATTTATGAGGGGCAAAGATTTAGAAATACTCCGTGGATTTTTTTTTCTTTTCCCTTTCGAACCAACTAAGAGAAGACTGAGGTAGGTGGCAATCATCAAGTGATATGAAAACGGGACGCATTTCCAGGTAGGTGCCAGCCTTCGGCGGTTCTGGAAGGAGCCTCCAACTTCAAAACGTCTGCTTACATCTGTTGCCTGGCCCCGCGTGTGTCTGGCCAGAGCAGCTGCCATTAAGTATTCAGCTCCTTGGGAGCTTAAAGAGTTTGGGTACAGAAGTGAAGAAAGAAAAGTTTCTTTGGAAAGGAAGTTTAGCTACAGGGATGTTGTCTGCCTGGTCTGGTCCTCTTCCTGGCCAAGAATTACACACACACACACACACACACACACACACACACCCCACGGAGATTGGTTTGTTAGGTTTTCTTTTTCCCCCTGAAGTTCCTTTAGGGAGTAAAAAAGTGGGGGGAGAAACATGCTTCCTCCTTTAACATCCAAATGCTTGAAAGAGTTAAAAGCTGGGGGTGTGGAGGGCGGTAGGGGGCACTTACAGAAGATGTGTTGATTTGATTCTACTGTTTTTCTTACACCTGGCTGAGGTCAGCTAGGAAACAGGTTTGCTTTGAGGGAGGGAGAGAATTTGGAGCCTTAGGTCAGGTCAGGCTGGGCTGGGAAGGATAATGCAGGGACCCTTTGAGGATATAAGGAAAGAAATAAAGATATGGAGGAGAAGGCACAACAAAAAGATGAGAAGAGAGAATGTCAGAGGCAAAACCTGCTATGTCACCAAGAAACTGCTTCAGACACACATTCTGTTCGCATTCATATTCTCAATTCTCTCTCTCTCTCTCTCTCTCTCTCTCTCTCTCTCTCTCTCTCTTTCTCTCTCTCTCTCACTCACTCACTCACTCTCCCATCTAAAGAAGGGGCAGTCATTTATAAAGTTGTTTTTGTAATAAACATGCTCTATCTTCTAGACAAGCAACTTTGAAAGGAGATTTGGTAAATCGTAACCTCGGTATGTTAAGGGCTGTGTGTGTTTCTAAGCTCTGTAGCACATTGTGCCCTCAGAAAGCACAGAAGCCTGAATAAGGTGATGACATGCAACTATATTACTTCTGAAATATCGTGTAAATGATCCACTGAAGCTTTTTAATACATAATCATGCAGTTTTCCATTTTGGTAGAAATCTGACCCTTATTTCAACATCTGAAAAGTTAGAAATAAAAGTGGAGAGAGTCGAAGAAAACTGTGTTTCTTCCTTTCGGAGGAAAACCCAGCTGTCTTGGCCCTTCCCAGCAAAATAACATAGTTGGGAAAGATGACATTTGCTCCAGTTATGGAAAATTATTTTGGCAATGATGATGTTTCTATATTTTTCCTTTTAAGCACCTCAATAACTTAAAAAGTTTTTTGAAACCAGTTTTGCCCTTTTGTTTCTCTTTTGAAGCAGTTTTGTTATCTTGGGATTGCTTAGTTGAGTATATCTTTCTGCTAGGCAACATACAACCAAGATGTAAATGTGTTTATGATTGGAAAATAGTTGTGAGAAAAAACAGAACCACATTTGGGGCCTCCTCGTGTCTGTGATACCCACATAAAATGGTTAACAGAATTCCAGAGCCTGCTTAAAACCCACTAGGTTTAAAGACCCTGACTGTTGGCAAACTCAATTTGCTGCCAGTATCTTAGTCTATAATACCTGTCGGAGGGCGCCACCTACTGGTTGGACTTAAAATTGCTGCCAGTGTTGTGTAACAGATTTTCTGCAGAATTTGTGGTTTTTAGCATTCTTTAAAAATGATGGTAACATCCCCAGAGTACTGAGTTGCTGGTGGGGAACTAAAGCCACTAAGTTAAGAGACTTCAGTTCTTCCCGTGTTCCGGCTGCTTCTCAGTTCTGTGGAAGGCACGTTAGAGACAGTGCGGTCGCTCTTCTCTGACCCAAAGATGGTCTATAGTAGTGGCAAAGTGGTCTGTCTACCCAGAGGTAAGCACAGTGGGTCCAGGTATACAGGCTCTTCGCAAATAAACCAAATCCTGATTTGTGTTCATATGTTCGATTCTCTTCCTAAATCCGGTTCCCTTCTAGTTTAGCCTCCCCTCTCATTTTTTTATTGAAAGTTTTAATTGTAGAATTCACTCTAAAGTTGGCACACAGGTGTATATAAAGCTGTCACATTCCCACCCCCACTCCCGGGAAGCCCTTGTTAACAGGTTAGGGTACATCATTTTGTTTGCATGCCCTTTATCTTGTACCCTATCCTGCGACTAGCACTAGAAGCATAACCGGTCATTTTAGAAGCTACCACGTAGGGAACAATGTGCTGTTAGATTTGATTCTGTTCCTAGTGATATTTGAACTTTGCACAGACTTTTTTGTTGTTGTTGTTATCCAGTGATGCATTATTTAGTTAGGAGTTTCGAAATGAGGTATTCTAATCTCCTCCCATTCCTTCATTTCTTAGCTGAAATACTTCCATAATGAGAAATACTAATATTCCCTCCGTCACTCCTGAGTTTCTCTAAGGCACAGTCTGAAGAAATGGAGACATCCATGTACAGCTCTTTTTAAAATAAAAGTAAATCAGGTTTGGTTAAACAGATGCTTTGTATTCGACTTTTCTCTCAGGATTGCAAGTCTTGCAGCGCACTAATATCCTTAAATTTAGATAAAACATAAAAATTAAAGAATGAAAGTAACGTAAGTAATGTCTCAAAATGATACAAGAGCGAGCAGGTTGATGTGTAATTCATTTCTAAATGGGTTCAGTGGTCATTAGGAAAATTGATTTAAGGCTTTATGGGCTAAATGGTGGCATTAGCATTTGAACCAAAATGAACTCCAGAGCCCATCATCTCACGTCCAGTGTGCTGCTCTCACTGGGAGGAGCTGGTGCAGGTGAGGTGAGGAGAGGCTGGGAAGCTCTTCCTGTGGTGCAGTTGTAAAGTGACCCGGCCCTTAATGAGATCTCACGGAGGACATAGGCAGCTGTGAGCTCTTACAGCGACTTTAATCTGGGGGTGTTTTTTAGGGTGTGTGTGTGTGGGGGGGGTGACCTCTAATAAAGCACAGAGGACTGAAGAGGGTGGTGATAGCAACTATACTACTTCTGAAACGTCATGTTAGCAAAGAGGCAAATGCCTGATGGTGTTCCAGAAGTTGGAACCAACAAATCCAATGCTCTTTGAACAGGATATATATAAAAAATTTGAGTGCATATCTATTGGTATAAACTATGTAGAGCTTGCTTTGTTTTGTCTTAATTCTAATTTTCTTTTCCTAAAACATTGTGAGTACAGACTTTAGGAAGTAGATTAAAGAGATGTCCTTTTACATGTGAAAGGAGTTGCCCCATGGGAGGGCTAGATGCAATTCATGCGTCTCCTGACTGGGCTCTTTTCCTTAGACACCTGAGAATCTGAGGGCTTTTATTTAGAAGGATTTGCATCAAGGTACTGTCAGAGGAGTGGGTGGATCTATAAGGATTAATTCCATTTAAAAGGCTTGGGGGAGGGGTGGCCAGCCATGGGTCAGAGCTGCTGAATTATCTGACCTCATTGCTATAAGCATATCTTTTGTCTAAGGTCCAGTATAGGACACTGGACAGCAAGTTTTAGAAACATCTATCTGTACAGCTGCTACGCTGGGAACTGGTTAATAACAGATCTCAAAGCACAAAAGGGGTTTTCATCCTTCATCATGAAATCATCCATTTTTCACTGGTGGTTGGGGTGTGTTCTTGCCGGCAGACGTGAGCACGCTGGTAGCACCATTGATTTGAGCACCCTGGTATCAGATTATGTTCACAGATTACAGTACAGCCTATGATGTAGGAAAACAGGATTTTGAAGTCAGGGGCCTTATGTTGAATTAAAAATGATATTCACGGGTTGTCCCGAGACCCAGGAGAGGCTTTCTTCAAGGACGCAATGAAACGCAAGAACAACACGGTGTTACTTTTATCATTGTATGTGGAGCTATCTTAGTATAACCCATAGGGCATGGACCCAGCAAACCACCCATTACTGTCAGGAGGTAGGATGGGGATGGGGAGTTTTCATGCTAAGACATAGGAAGTAATCGTGAACCAGGGACTGTACAGCTCTTTCGGGTAGAACTCAATCTAGAACTTGTTCACTTTCCACCCAAACCAAGTGATCTATAAAGACTTCACCTCTAACATGTAAACCAAACTTGGATAGTAAGTGCCTGAAGGGATAGCTGAAGATCTGAGTCGTAGCGAGGCGGTGATTCCCTCACCTGTGAAGTGCGGCTGGGGACTGAGCAGACTGAATGTTGTGTCCTGTGAGGGAGCAGTTGGCTTTATGTGGACTAGTGCTACAAGTGGACTAGTGTAGAACAAAGAAGAAAATACGTGGATAACGAGCAGAATATTAGAAGCAGGGAAGAGAAAGACTGAACAAGGACAAGATGCATCTGGCTAGAGTGTCTGATTTTCTCATGAGAAATTTGCAAAAGAATGGGAGTGAATGCAAGCTAATATTCTTCACATATAAAAAGTGCTTAGAAAACAATAACAGTTGGGGGAGGGGGAGGACCTGAGGACTCAAGACCTGAATAGGCATTTCTTAAAAGAAGAAATGCAAATGATAAATTTTAATTCAGTAATTAAATCCATTTAGAGTAAAAATAATTTGCCATTTTGATACTAGCAAATTGGCAGAATTTTGTTTTGTTTTAAGTGATAACACGCGTTGCTGGTAGAAATGTTGGGATTGGGAAACGGGTTCTGTTTTATTGATGGAAATAATACAGTATCTTTGCTGGGTGGTATATCATATGCTTTGGAAAATGTCCTTGCTTGTCACCCAAGACTAAAACTTACTTTAAAAATTAAGGATGTGCAACCTAAGTGCCCAGGAAAAGGGGATAATTTACATAAACGGATGTGGCATACTGAATTTGATGGTATGGAACCATGCTTACCGAAAAGAAACATTCTCCTCATAAATTGTCAAGTGAAATCATGGATACTAAATTCTGGGCATACTATAATCCCATGTAAAAAATTTGTAAGGTTAAAAGCAAAGATATTAATGATGGTAGGTTCTAGGTTTTCTTTTTGCTTGCCTTTTCCCCCACCCCTGATTTTTCTGTAAGGAAAAGTGTTTGACACTCATAGATAATGTGAACTTCTGTTGAGTTTGCACTACAGTCTTAAGATTTACTGCTTGGAAAGGGCTTTACTATTGTTCCAGAAATGTCCGGGTTTATGTATTTGAGTTAGGAATGCCAGTTGGCTCTCATCTGGTTATGACCATGGATTCTGGTTTTAATTATACAAAATGGCATCTTTCATAGGTAAGGGAAACAAATTCCAGCCATTCGGGGGGGCGGGAGAGAAGAGGGAGCAGAGAAGGGGAGGCGAGCAATATTATGTTTTATTTTTACTAGTTTTTATTTAAAGTAACCTTGGGATTTAGATGGACGCTTTGTTTTGTTTTCCAGGCCAAACACCAGAGCACCCTAGAAAGCTTTAACTAAAAGAATGCTCATGTTTGACCCAGTTCCTGTCAAGCAAGAGGCCATGGACCCTGTCTCGGTGGTAAGTTTTCCAAAATCGAACCTTTTCTTATTTTATTCCAAGTGGTAATGCTATTGTCATGTGTTACGTTATTCCTTAAGGTTACTGGTTACTAAACAGGCATTTGGTAGGTAAATTTTTCAAAGGCCCCGGTAGTCAGTGGGGTTCATACCCTACTAGCCACTGTGCATCCTTCAATAAATGGGACCTATGCTTCCTTCAGGCCTGTGCCCCACATCCTTCAGCATACAGTCAGCACAGAACTTGGGCCACAGAAGTAGGTTTACAAAAACTCCTCCGTTTCCAGAGTTTTTAGTTGGAGCTTTCGGGATTGTTGGTCAAAGCATTAAAAAAAAAAGTTTGGCTAGACTGATTTTTTTTTAATGTGCACCCAGGGACATTTTTAAATTAATTAATTATATATTTTTTAATTTTTTGAATGTACTTACTTTGTTTTTAATAGAAAAAAATGAACAAAAGCACAATGATGAAGCCCAGAGGGATGGGGTCGGGGAGTCACAGGGCATCCTGCTCCCCAGGCTCCTCTGCTGGCCTGGGGCTGTGCTCCCAGCCTGTGCCTGCTAGGCCCCCTCGATGGCATGGCCTTGGCGCTCGTAGTCTGGCCTCCTCCCTCTCACCTGCCTGGGCCTCCCGTAGGGAACGACCCAGACGAGTGGCAAACCTCTGCACACAACTCCAGTGTTTGCTCTGGATCCCGATGGCATTCTCTGGCGTGGCCATGGCATCGATGGTCGATGTTCAGTTTTGCTGTAAGGCTGTCTCATCCAAGGGCTGTAGCTCCACGCTGCATAGAGCCGAGATGCAGGCCTAAGAGGCCTCACAGATGGTGGTCAAGTTGTGGCCTCCCTCCAGGGCCAGCTGCTCAGCCCGGCTTCCTACTCAGGGACATTATTTTTCAAAACCTGTGGGCAGTGTTTACCATGGTGAGGAAGCAATATCTGAATGTACCTATAAGAAATCAGCATCTGCCGAAACCGGTTTGGCTCAGTGGATAGAGCGTCGGCCTGTGGACTGAAGGGTTCCAGGTTCGATTCCGGTCAGGGGCATGTACCTGGGTTGCGGGCACACCCCCAGGAGGAGATGTGCAGGGCAGCTGGTCGATGTTTCTCTCTCATCGATGTTTCTAACTCTCTATCTCTCTCCCTTCCTCTCTGTAAAAAATCAATAAAATATATTTAAAAAAAAAAAAAAAAAAAGAAATCAGCATCAAGAATATGATACAGGTGACTTAGAGGTGTTTTGGGTTTTTTTTAACTCAAGATCACCACCCTTATTCTATAGAAGAATTTCTCAAACATGTTGGAGGTTTTCCTTCTTTTAATAGTGAAAGAAAAAGATATTCATTGGGTCGCATAGTGTTTAGGGTGTGTTCCATAGAGCTGATTTAAAAGATGAAAATAAAATAGCAACCGCTCAGTCCTTTTACATGTAAAAATAAGTGTATTAAGAATAAAATGGTTTGCTTGAAGAAACTATGACAACAGCGATGTGGAGCTATGACTGTGTGAGAGATGGCTGGAGAGAAGCTAGTGAAAGAAAGAACTTGGCGGGGAGGAGGAATTTTATTTCAGTTGGAAGAGTCTGGGTGGGTGGGAATTGTGTTCCTTGTCTTTTTCAGCACCTAGTGCTCAGCTGGCCCCTCTGTGAGCCGGAATCTTCTAGATGCTGCTTTTGGGCCACCGGGAGACTAGTAATTAGTCCAAGTGTTTATGGGACCTGGGTGACAACAGAAAGGTGTGTCCCACTGCAAAGCAGGGAGTGGCTTAGACTTGAGGGGATCTGGTTTAGCAAATATGAAGTAACTAGGCAATTCTCTCACTCTATCTTGCTCTTTCCTTTCACGGGCTTGAAAAATATTCACAAGGGGGGAAACTTGGCCTGAGTTGCATATGAGAAGGTTGGTAATGACACGCTTGCAAAATTAGATCATCCTTATGCATTGGCTGTGGAGGTTCCTGCCAGAAATGTTTATACAACACACGGGGGTCAGTCAGGGGCCCTTGGAACTGAGTTGCCATGGCTGTTACGAAGCCAGTGAAGTGTTTATCACTGGGTGCAATGAAAAGTTAAGTCAGAGTGGCTTTAAAGGAAATAACAGTTACATTCCAGCATAATAACTGGATAACTGAGTGTCTGAATATGAAAACTGGGCAGGAAGAATTTTATTAAAACAGCGAACTGACTTCTGATGTTATTCAGTGCTGTCATCGCATTCCTCAACCCTTCCCCCAACTATGGCATGGTCACGTTGGAGGAAAATTAAGGTGTAAAATTTCTCCCATTAATTACATCCTTGAAATATGAATAGGTTTTTAGTACCGGAGAGTATGATTAGTTTTCTAAATGATGCAGAACCATCAATGATGCATTTTACTATTCAGTGTACTTCCATTGCTTTTAAGCAAGCATGGAAATAGGAGGGCTCCAGAGCCTAATTTCAAGCTAAGAATGAAGCTGCGCAGTGCTAAGTTAGTTATGATGTAATTAAACGCAAGAAAACGCACTTAACTGAAAACAGGAAGTAAAACGCACCTAAAGATTAATACATGAACCTAGAATATATAGAAGTGTTTTTGCAAATAATGGTCATTTTCTCCTTCATGCTTGAGTTTGCAACTTCAGCTAACTCTCACAGAAATTAGTTAGTGTCTGCCCACACAGTGAAGTTCCTTTTTAATTCAGTGAAATCTCAGTTAACTGAAAAATTTGGAGACTAGGGTGCTGTGATTATTTTCTTAACAAAATTAAATAAGCCTTTGTTTTCACTCTTTTAAAAAATATATATTTTTATTGATTTCAGAGAGGAAGGGAGAGGGAGAGAGAGAAACATCAACAATGAGAGAGAATCATTGGTCAGCTGCCTCCTGCATGCCCCTCACTGGGGATCAAATCTGCAACCTTCAACCCAGGCATAAGCCCTGACAGGGAATCGAATCGTGATCTCCTGTTCATAGGTCGAGGTTCGACCACTGAGCCACGCCATCCAGGCTGTTTTTACTCTTAAATCTTCAAGTTTCATCTCTCCTGCCTTTGTAGGTGGAGTGTATGAAACCTAATTTCTTATTTTTTTATTCCTTTTTTTTCCTTCTTAGTTCCATCTTTGATCTGAAGGTTGAAGTCTTTGGTTATTCAAGTCTATGTTTTAAACATTAAGGCAGTTTAGAATAATTTGTAAGAGAAATTTTGTTTTAATTCCACATAGAATAAAAATATCTTATGGTGATTTATCTTCCCTCCCTGCCCCCCTTTTTCTTAAAATGAAAGAGTAGCAGAAGCAATCTGCCTATTTGGTATTTTGCTATAATTTAGAGAAAGTGAGGAAATGTCATCTCTGACTTACCCCATATAAGCCTTCCTACCATCCTGTGCTTTGAGGCAAATAGTCAGGCTTGATACTGTCTTTTTGTTTTTTAACATATTTTATTGATTTTTTACAGAGAGGAAGGGAGAGGGATAGAGAGTTAGAAACATCGATGAGAGAGAAACATGCACACCCCCTACTAGGGAGATGCCTGCAACCAAGGTACATCCCCTTGACTGGAATCGAACCTGGGACCCTTGAGTCCGCAGGCCGACGCTCTATCCACTGACCCAAACCGGTTAGGGCGTGATACTGTCTTATTAGAAGGTGCAAGAATCAGGAGAGGAGACCCTGCCTGCTCAGGTCTGTGCCTGGGTCTCTGCTACTTACTCTCAATGCAAAGTTGGCAAAACTGCCAGCAGCTGCCTGAGCCTTTTAAAAAAAATTATTATTATTATTATTATTATTTGTAAAATTGGAGATTATAATTTATAAACCGTAGACGTCATGTAAATGAATGTAAAATGTGCATGTGAAGGAATTGTTTTTACCCATTCATTTCCAAAGAAAGTTAAAGAATTTAACTCAGGAGATGAGAAAGAAAACAGATTTTTAAAAAGTATTCTTTCTTATTCTGTTCCTACACAGGAAGGTTACTTTTGAAGAAAGTACATTTCTTTTCCCTTTTTTTTTTTAAATGAAAATTGTTATCTAACAGACTCCTGACAGACTGAGAAGCTCTTCACAGCTCCTCTGCTCCGTCCCAGCAGGAACTTTTCACGGCTCTCCCGTGCCTGGTGGAAAGGGAGCTTTCTGCTTGTGTTTGCATAGAGAGGCATGACATTTGCAGTTTCCAGAGTGTGTTTATACACGCACCACGCCTCTCTGCCCTGGGAGCCCCACCCTTTGTATGAAGATTCCTTTGACTTGCCATCGCCCTGTCACGGATGTTCACTTCTTTTTCATATTCATGAATAGTGAAATAGAGACTTATCCACTTTAACTCCCTTGTAATGGAAACCTCACCAAAAGTATTCCCAATAAAATAAGGAACTATTGAAATTCTTCCTTGAGTATAAAGTGATAGCTTTGGAAAAGTGTCCCAAACCAACTCTTTTCGAAAAGTAAACCCACTACCACCACCCACCCCACCCCACCCCCGATGAAAGGAGGGGGAGAATCCCTTGCGTGAGCCTGTCTTCAGGCTGCTGGGCTCCAGCACACGGAGCCTCCTGGGCTGAGCATGTGGAAGGGGGAGGGGAGGGTGGCATTGGATGCCCTTCAGTGGCCACAGGCGCTTTTCTACACTTGCCTCTGATTCGGATTAGGGACCCGGGTGGCCACGCCTATTTGCATTGCTTAGTTAGAAGACAGGAATGGTCTGGAACAGAAAGGGAGCAACTGTTTACCAGGGTGTGCACACCCGGAGCAAGCCCCGCATTAGCCCTTCCACTGTGGGGCACCGGGTTGTTGCGAGCTGATGGCAGTAGCTTGTGCGCTCCACCCCAGTAATCTGAAGGCTCTGATAGACATTGCTAGGAAATGTGCTAGTGAGGCAGTTTGAGGAGCCACATTTCTTCACCCTTTCGTGAGGCGGCCGGGCTGGAAAGAGTTACTCGTGTGCTCCGCTGTGTGCCCAAAGGTGTCTCCTTACTTTTAGCCCTGTGGCCTCACAAACACCACACCACAGTCAGCGTAGGGCGCAGGGGTCATTCGCTGGAGAGCGGACGCGCAGCAAAACTGCATCGTGTTTAGAATACTTGGCTTTCTGTATGGCTGTCTCTTTTCCTTTATGGCGTGAGAAACCTGGGAATATTATTAACTTTGCCAATCTCCCGGGTCCTAAATTCCTACTTTCCTTAAACTCACCCACAGATAGAGAAATCCAGCAATGACAGCAATAAAAGCGTGTCCTCGTTTTGCTTCCTATGGAGCTGCCAATAACTTGGCGTTAAAATCTAGGTCATAGGGAGCTCTTGGAAAAATAGGGCTGACAGTAAGGGAGAAGCTACATTTTGGTGAGTAGAGTCAAGTAATGCTGCCTCCCATCTCCTGACTTTTTGTTTCTAGTATCAGAGCTTCTGCACTTTAGAGAATTATATGTAAAGCAGATTAAACTTTAGAACCAGGGAACATCCCCGCCCCCCGTGTTTAATTACTTCCTTAAACCCTCATTGTACACAGTTTGTAATATATTTTTTGTTAGTGAGTCCTGTGCCTCTTTCAGTATTTCAATTTAAATATATTTAATGTTAATATTGCTGTATGTTTGGAGCCCACACACCTTGTGGGGTGCCTGGGTCTGAAGAAAGTTAGAAATAGTCTTTTCTTCATTTGATTCTCTATACATAACTCAAAGCTGTTTTAAAAAACAACAATTTATATATTTTGGATTTCCTGATTTTATTTCCTTCATGTCTTTGCTTTTAAGCAGATTTATTAATGCATATTCTTCCCTCCCCTCTTTAAATTGTTTTTAAGTGATATACCAGATTTTAATACTAAAAATTAGTATTTTTATTCTATATCTGTTATTGAGAGCCGTGCCGTTCAAAAGGCGGTCTGTGCACCTTCTGCCACCTCCCAGTCATTGAGAATCTACAGTTTAACAAGGTCCCCAGTGAATTTGTGAAGCCCTGATTAGGAGGATCAAAGCCCATTTAGTGCACTCCTTGTATGAGAAAAGAGAAGGGAACCATAGGGCTGCAGGGTGTTTAAGCTCAGACATAGGCTACCTCGTTGAATCCAATTTTGATTTTAGCCTCACAGCCTTCTAGGAGGAGCTTTGCCATATCCTGATGGCACCTGTACTGCTAATATTTAGTTAGTAATATTTCTTGCCCTCTTTTATAGGATTGCTTTTGTTAACATAATTTTTTAACAGGGAACATTATATCACTACTATAAAAAAAATTTTTTCGTATTCATTTAAATAAACACCTATTTTAAAGCACTGTATGTTCACTGGGTGCCAGGCCACAGGCATCACTGTTCTAGACCAGTGGTCGGCAAACTCATTAGTCAACAGAGCCAAATATCAACAGTACAACGATTGAAATTTCTTTTGAGAGCCACATTTTTTAAACTTAAACTATATAGGTAGGTACATTGTTATTAACTTAATTAGGGTACTCCTAAGGCTCAGGAAGAGCCACACTCAAGGGGCCAAAGAGCCGCATGTGGCTCGCGAGCCGCAGTTTGCCGGCCACGGTTCTAGACCATACAGATTATGATGATATGGATAAAGAAAGGACGAAAGAAAAAAGTACTTAATCTTAAAGATGAGAAACTTAAAAGATCAAAATCCAATGAACTGAAAATACTGCCTAGGACCTTTCCCCTGATATTCCATGCTCGGTCAGCCTGCAGTAGAAGCCAGGCGTCTGCATTTCAAAACAGCACAAGTGATTCTGATGTGTAGCCAGGTAGAGAGCCGTCCAGCAAGACCCAGAGAGGAAAGGGTGGGATCTCTGTCATAAGCCCCGTCAAAACCACTGCTACCCCACAATGACTTGTAACTCACAATAGTGGCCACTGGAGTGTCTGGGGAAGCTTAGAAATTAACAGTGCATTCAGTCATTTAAGTACAAGTCCCCATTGGTGGGTTTTCTCAGCTGCATCAGGAGCTAGTATTGCCTCAGAATCATAAACACATAGGATTTAAGAGCTGGAAGACTGATACACCAAGGTTGTGGGTTCAATCCCCAGTCAGGGCACATACAAGACTCAATGAATGAATGCATAAGTAAGTGAACAACAAAAATAACTCTCTCTCTCTCTCTCTTTCTCCTTCTCCCCTCCCTTCCTCTCTTCCTCTCTCTAAAACATTTTATTTATTAAAACACAATAAATGAATAAAATGTTTTTAAAAGAGCTGGAAGAGAGGCACAGTATATTTTTTATCACTTTCACTGTAAAAGATTCAAATACGAGTAATTTTCTGCAGGAGGACTATACATGTGGTTATTGAAAATTTCCCTAAAATGCCTGCATGTATAGAAAATGGCTGGTGTTTAATTTTCTAAAGCATTCTACAGCAAATACTCATTTTTAAATTATAGTTAAGGAATGGAGCAATTTTAGTGAACTCCATGGCCAAGAACATGAGCCAGAATATGCAATTGTGGTGACTTATTTATATTGAAAGCTGGCAGATGAGTTAGGTCATCCTGATATTAGAAGAGAGAAGGGTGTTTGAGGGTAAAGTAGCTAAATTGTAGGACAGATCTTAGATTTGGGAGGAAACAAACCATTTTGTCTCTCTTCCAATATCTTCTTAGCTTTTGAGAGTAGGGAGCAAGATGTAGAGAACACTGGACCGCCCTCATTTCGAGCATCAGGTGGCCTGATTTGAGTCATATTATATTAGCTGTTTCTTACAGTTCTGTGTCATCCACAAATGTATAAATCGGGTCATCTTCTACACCTTCATTCAAACTGTGCGTAGACCATTGAACAAGTTGGAGCCAAGGACATAGTTACCCTAGTGTGGGTGGCCTTCAGTGTTAGGCGTGTAGGGTAACCGGCCATCCTGGTTTGCCTGAGACTGAGGCATTTCCTAGGTCGTAGGACTTTAATACTAAAGCCAAGATAGTCCCGGGCAAATCAGGGCTGTTGGATGTCCCAGGCATGGATTCGTCAGCGGCTCCAGCCCACATGCAGCGCTATTTCTTCAGGTTATAAAAAGCGTATCATGAGAAATGTTCAGTGCCCAGAGGGCATTTCCTGCCAGTTAAGAAGCTCCATCAGAAAAGCAACAAGGTTACTTGGCTTGGCTGGTTCTTGGTGAACCCCAACGCTGACTCCTAATGATTAAAGCCCCTAAAGCTTCTGTTTCATAACCTGTTGTTGGTAAGAATTTTGCATCTTACGTTGTGTTTGAAGCAAATGTACTTATTTGGCGGTTCTCGTGTTGTGTTTTCCTTTCCAATAGTCGTACCCATCTAATTACATGGAGTCCATAAAACCCAGCAAGTATGGAGTCATCTACTCCACACCATTATCCGACAAGTTCTTTCAGACCCCGGAAGTCCTGTCGCACGGGATGCAGATGGAGCCGGTGGACCTGACCGTCAACAAGCGGAGTTCACCGCCCTCAGCTGGGAATTCTCCTTCCTCACTGAAGTTCCAGTCCTCGCACCGGAGAGCCTCGCCCGGGTTGAGCATGCCATCGTCCAGCCCGCCCGTGGAAAAGTACTCACCCCGGCCCCGGGAGTGCAGCCCTTCAGCATGCCGCTGTCCATGCCGCCGGTGATGGCCGCCGCCCTGTCCAGGCACGGAATTCGGAGCCCGGGGATCCTGCCGGTCATACAGCCCGTCGTGGTGCAGCCCGTCCCCTTCATGTACACCAGTCACCTCCAGCAGCCGCTCATGGTGTCCTTGTCCGAGGAGATGGAAAACTCGAACAGTAGCATGCAAGGTAAATTTCAGAATCTCCTGTGTCTTCACCAGGCAGCCTGGGGAGGGTGAAGGAAGCAGAGCCAAGCTCTTCGAAGGAAATATCCCACTTAGAGTCTGCCTGGGGCATTTCCTTTTGTGTGTGTGTTTTTTGCCTTAAAGTGTTGATACTGGAAGAGCTCCCAAGAATCAGGCTGTCTGTTTAAAGCTATGAAATGCTTACTTTCACTATATAATTGTCAACTTCGGGCTGACAAGAATCTTGACTTTACATTTTGCTTCATGAATGCCAATACGGTTCTAGGTGCAAAGAGGCATTTAATAAATACCTTTAGAGCATGGTGATTACTCAGGGCTATTAAAAGCACCTTGTTTATTGAGTGGTCATGGGCAGAAGACTGGGATTAAAGTGAGATAATACAAAGTTATAAGGAAGAATCATTTGGGGGCTGGTGTCTTTAAAAGTCCAGTTTCCTAGGTACACTGCTTACTGGCAAAATAATGGGCCAGAGAAACAAGAACCCCCTCAGATTCATTGCTGCTCTGATTTGCCAAAGGCAGATAATAGTCACACATCAGTGTTACAGATGGGACCTGTGCGATAAGCTTTTTTATAAGCTGAAGTTGGTATATTGTACACACAGTGACTTTTCTATTTTTATTTTTTTAGTACCTGTAATTGAATCATATGAGAAGCCTATATTACAGAAAAAAATTAAAATAGAACCGGGGATCGAACCACAGAGGACAGATTATTATCCTGAAGAAATGTCACCCCCTTTAATGAACTCAGTGTCCCCCCCGCAAGCATTGTTGCAAGAGTAAGTATATTTAGGTCTACCCAGCATTTGCGTAGCAGCATGCATCTCGGGACCTGGAATGGAAGCCCAAGCTTCCAAGGTGTGGTGTGTGGATTGCCAGGAACGCCCTGTAGCATGTGGCAGCCACGGGGCAAGATGAGGGGATCTCTCCAAAAACAATGCTCTGTTACACGGACAGCATTATGACAATGACTTCCAGTTACCACTGAGTTGGTCACCCATGATTTTGCCACCTTACCACACATATAGTTTTTATCTTATTTGTTCACTCTTCCAGACTGCACACACAGTTTTTCCAGAATCTTAATCCCACCGTGGATTGAATCTGGTGTTCTAAATATTCAAGGTTGGATCATGAAAACTCCATATGGACCTATGTCGTACTCCTACTTGTCACTTCCAATAGAGTCTCCTGTCTCCAGGATGAGGAATGTCTTGCATTAAAATCTTCAGGCCAACCACAAGCCCAAGAAAGACACTCCAACACAAGTCCTGTAAACAAGTGGTGGCAACAGAAATTGACCATGTAGCTCAGAGAAGCCCAGCCAGGACACAGCTTATTCTCTAGTCGCTTAAATCCTGCCTGCCCCTAGAATGTTCCGTCTGCTTTGGGACTGCCATGGAGGGGAAAGTTCAGGCAGTGTTGGTCAGCAACCAAACACCTGAACGGTGGTTTGTTTTACGTCTGACTTGCTGTAATATGACAGTGCCACACACAAGTTAAATGACATCACTGATGGGATTGCCACTGGAGGTAACCTTGAAGCTTACCAGTGATGACACTGGAAGCTGTGTTTGAAGTAGCTCAGAAACTGGTCTTTGGGTCTGACATCTTGGATCCCAGCTCCGCTCCCTACCATACGTATGACCTTGGGCTAATCGTTTCATCTTGTTGCCTCTTTCCTCTTTATTTTCATTATTGGCCGTAATTATTTTTCTTGCTGTCATTGTCTTGTGTTCTGGTGCTTTTCCCATTGGACCTAGTGGCCAGCTTCCCAGTTCCGAGGGAACAGTTGCCTCCCAATTCACTTTTCTCCAACTTAAACACATGTTCTGCCCACCGGGCTGCTTGATCTTCTCTACCCCTCTCCCCTAAACAGTTTATTCTGCAACAGAATATGAATTCTCTGATTTTACTGGAATTCCAAATATTATAATCGTATCCACATTCAACCCAAGTAGATGCCCTTATAGTAGCTCACGTATTAATTGCCCAGTGAACCAAATCACAGTCAGTTTCTGTTGTTGTCATATACTTGCTGATAGGTGGAGAATGAATTTTCTTGCCCAGCCACATCGGTAGTAGAGTGTCTGATGGACTTGTACATTACTGCTTTTCAAAATTGCATCCCCTCCACCCCCAAAGGAAACTTTTCCAACTTTTATTCTCTCACAACAAGCATATGAGAGACAGGAAATGGAGAACTGAGGAGCCAGACATTAGATAACTGGCCTGTAATCACACAGTTCACAGCAAGAGGGGCCTGGGCTTGATCTCCTGCACCCGGATGAGGGCTCTTCCTGCCATTTTTAACCCGTATCTAGCTGACTGCATCTGTTCATGCACTCGAGTGAAAGGAGAAAACAAACTATCCAAAATGGACACATCATGTAGGCTGCACTGCTGCTTTTCTTTATGATGACGGGTGTCTCTGGCAAGGTAACTGGCAATATGACTTGGCACTTGTAATTGTTCCTACACAGATGATGGAAAAGATGCTCTAAAGCCAATTGCCCACATAGGGAGCGATCCATGGACTGAAAGGGGTTATTCCAAAGCCCAGGTTATTATGAATTACAGTGTGGAGCATTATGGAAGAAGGGTATTTGAAAGCAATAATATGCTGTGCCCTGAATGCTGCTGAAGATAAAATACTTTTTCTCTTCTTTCTTATTTTAAGTAATGTTCTTTGGATGATCTCAAGCTGAATGGCTTTTAATGATTAATGAGCAAGATGCTTAGTCTAATGCTGACCTAAGAATGCATTTTGCTTCTCAAAAAACTCAACAGATTAGCCACAACTGGGACATGTACTCTTCAAGTGATTTTCTCACAGATGTGATTAAGTAATGTCTTGGAGTGTGCCCAGTAGCAGCCCCCATAGGAAACCAGCTAGCCAGGAAGGAATCATTTGAAACCAAGCGCCTAGTAGCATTGTGATGAGGCAGCCCCAATATTTGCCTCAAGAAAACCTTTCTTTAGAGGCAGACTTCAAAACACAGCTTTGAAATCCATTTGCTTGGCCATGGAACTACTTGCTCTAGAATTATTTGTAAAGGCACTCAAGTGTATATCAAATTGCTTCTGCTGTATATTTGCATGTATGAGAATGTATAACAAACAGCTTAAGAAGAAAAAATCAAACAGCTTAAGGATCAGGTTGTTCCATTTAGTTGTATATATGATTGGTAGCAAACTCGAGAGGTCGGCTTAGCTCAAAACAATGACCAGGTCTCCGATATTTAATAGCTGTTCTAACTTCTTGGTTGTAATGTTCCCAAACGGCCTCTTTTAAAATGAGTAGTGAGGAGACCAAGAAGGGTGAGATCCCAAGATCCTGATCTCTAGCCTCAGCCTTTCTAACATCTGGCTCTTTAGAGATGGGGCTGCTCACCACCCTCAGAATGATGGTGCCTTTCGAGGTAGCTATTGGCTGGTATAGAGATTTCCTGACCCAGTGTGGAGACATTAAAAGAACAAAACAACACACTTCATGAAATTAAACAATGTAAGGGCTACATTTACAAATAGATTTCAGAACCTTGAATTATGAACAGCTACCATTGAGTAGATTTACATCTGGAACAGATATTGTTCTCTTTTAACAAAAAATATTTTTTACTTTAGAGAGAGGGGAAGGGGGAAGAGGAAGAGAGAAACATTAATTGGTTGCCTTCTGTATGTGCCTCAACCAGGGACTAAACCAAAAACCCAGGTATGGGCCCTGGCCTGGAATCAAACGGGCAACCTTTCCGTGCACAGGACAACATTTAACCACTGAGCCACTCCGGCCGGGCCACATATTGTTCTTAAATGCTTTGTGTACATTACTCACAACCACCTTCCGAGATCATATCATCCTCCCTATTCCACAGAGCGGATATCAATACCTTGCCCCCAGGGTCCCAGGGGCTATCGGCTCCAGAGCTGGGGCTGTCAGCTGGGATTTAAGCTGGAGCACACAGCTCTTAAGCATACCTTTATGCACACAACAAGCAACTGGAAAACGCATTCCTTAACTACTGCACAGAAACTATTAGGCTGATTCGCAACCCATAAAAATCTAACAATTGGGAGAGACTTCTAAAATCATCTAATACTCTTTTCAGTATCCCAGAGCATATGAGATACATTTAATCACTTTTTTTCCTCAGAATTTTATTTCCTGAAGGTCTCTTAGTGAAGATGAAACATTTTCAATCAGTGGAATTAAAGTTGAAAGTTAAAAATAAACTGATAACCTTTTCCTTTTCATTGAAGAATTTTAAATTGATTAAAAGAAAACTATATCTGTTCATAAACTTCTCACTTCTCTATTTTCTCTGTTTGTATATTTATAAAATTTAAGTCTTGTCTTTTTCCCCCCTCACTAGTTCATGTTCACTTTTCCATGTATTTAAACTTGGCCATTTGTTTTTCTGTATCGCCCCTCTAAGCATCAGGGTAGGAAGGTAAAGTGACGGTTTTCTTTGCTAATTAATAATAAAAGTGAGAAAATGAGAGGTCATTTAAATACGGCTTTGAGCCGAAACCGGTTTGGCTCAGTGGATGGAGCGTCGGCCTGCGGACTGAGGGGTCCCAGGTTCGATTCCGGTCAAGGGCATGTACCTGGGTTGCGGGCACATCCCCGGCGGGAGATGTACAGGAGGCAGCTGGTCGATGTTTCTCTCTCATCGATGTTTCTAACTCTCTATCTCTCTCCCTTCCTCTCTGTGAAAAATCAATAAAATATATTTAAAAATAAATAAATAAATACGGCTTTGATTTACTTCTAGTTGCTTCCTAGCATGCCTGAAAAAATTACTGATAAAAGACATGTATTTAAATTTTAACCAAGATAAAAAAAATCAAGTTTCATTTCAGGGATTCCCTTATGATTTATATAATTAAATTTATTATCTTTTTTTAATCTCATTAAGTTCCTTTTTTCCTTCTCACCAACCTTTTTCTCCCTTTGCACACTTGTATAAAACATTCATATGTTATGTGGAACATCTTAAGAACTTTAGATTCAAATTTTTAAAGAATACATATTTTTTTATTGATTTCAGAGAGGAAGGGAGAGGGAGAGAGAGGTAGAAACATCAATGATGAGAGCGAATCATTGATTGGCTGCCTTCTGCATGCTACACTGGGGCTCAAGATCACAACTTGGGCATGTGCCCTGACCAGGAATTGAACCATGACCTCCTGGTTCATAGGTCGATGCTCAACCACTGAGCCCCATCGGCCCAGAATTAGGTTCAAATTTAAAAGAAAAGTCTTTTGTTATAGTTGGAGGCCAACTACATAACTTTGTAATGTTTCAAGTAGTTGGTCATTAGGAAAGCAAATGAATGGGTTAAAATGAATGAATGGATTAGGAATTTTAATTACTTTACATTAATCAGCAGAAGTCTGGGAAAACTATAGACCTTTCCCAGCTCTTCCCCATCTGCCTTCCCTCTCCAACTACATTTCTGAAAAAGAAGTCCACAGTGATGATGTTTAACATGATTTGATGTGTGCAAATGCAGGATATGAGTCTGGGCGAGAGCAATCAGGGAGGTAGAGAGAATGTCAGGGGTCCCTGAGAGGGCTGACCTCCTACAGTGTGGTTGCCTGAGACTTAGGAATCTGACCTTTCCCTAAAGAACAATACATGAAAGTAAGGATAGCCTGTGAATAGTAGTAGAGTGTCCAGCATTACCTAGGGCCACAACATTCTATAAACAGGCAAATTTTTATTGAGGCAGAGACTTCTAGCACTTTGCACCTCCCTGCAGCATAGCACCTAACTCTTCTTACTGTCATTACTTATCTACATGTCTGTCTCCCCCTAGAGTGTGAGCTCCTCGAGGGCAGGAACCCTGTTTTTATTCATCTTTGTGTCCCGGTGCCAAGCACAGTGCCTGGCTTATGGTAGGTGCTCGCTCAATGTTTGTTGAATGAATATAGCAGTGCTTCTTGGGTTGATCAGCTAATTTCTTTTTGTTTATTTTGTTGGGTTTTGTTTGTTTTTGCCCAGTGTTGTTAATGCTTTTGATAGACTAAAGAAAAGGAAGAGCCTTCCACTCAACATTGTGCATTTAACGTTGCCTTTCACAGGAATCACCCTTCAGTCATAGTACAGCCGGGGAAGAGACCTTTACCTGTGGAATCTCCAGACACCCAAAGGAAGCGAAGGATACACAGATGTGATTATGACGGATGCAACAAAGTGTACACTAAAAGCTCTCACTTGAAAGCACACAGAAGAACACATACAGGTATCAGAAATATAAGACTCACTTTCTTCCTAAGAATTAGACTACAAGGTTAAGTGGAACGTTCTGACCTTCAGAGGTTATTATAATGATTTTTTTTCAGGCATCTGAAAGCTCCCATAGTCATTTACAGATGTCTCTGTCATGATAAATGAAGTATTTTGTTACGATTTACTTTTGTAATAAGTAGAATAGATTCAAGGTCATCGCTGTAAGAAGATGGATCCCCCGGTGGAACAGAGGGGAGAGTGCTCTTAACTGTGGGCCAATTTCACCAGGATGTGGTCTTCCTATGGGCTCTTCTATGGCAAATGTACATCAAGAATTATGTACAGAATTACGGCAAATGAACTACAGTTCACAATAGTAAAAACCAGCTCTTTACGCAGAACAAACAAATGCAGCCGTTTATAGAAGCTGAATTTGGGTAAATCCTCGCTTCTAAAACTGAGGGAACTTCTGTGTGATTGCCTGCCATATTTGTTCTAGAATATTTTCCATCGTGCCCAGTCTCGAATACAGAGTGTGCAGCCAGATCTTATGACAATTGTTGTATAGATGAAGAAAACATGAAATTGTTCCGTGGGCTCTTCAACATTTTGTAGCAAAGTATCTTAACGAAATTGTATAAAAATGTTGTAAACAATCCGATTAATTATAGTAAGTACTGGTGATTAATGTTTACTATAGGTCACGTCTGACCCAACCTCAGACTCTTCAGTATGAAATTCTAGTGTGATAGGGATTCGCCTCTGTATACATTGTTCTTAACTCAGGATGTAGATTATTTTTTTTATTCTTATGAGTTATATTTAAACAGAAGACTCTGGGATTTGGAAGAAAAAAGGGCAGGAAAGTGTCTAGCACAGTGGAAGTGAGTTTTTCATTGAATTCTGGGAAAGGAAGCCAGGGAAAATCAACCTACCTACAGCTTGCATTTAGAGGAACACCCAGTCACCAAACCTATGTCAGATAGATTCGTAAAAGCATCTCCAGGAGATTAATGGGACAACCCTGAGGTGGATGCTACCCGATTCCAGCCTGAGATTAAAAAGACAAAATTGAATGTTTGTGTAACAATTCAGATGTGGGCCAAATACCTCTTAGCATTTATATTCTGTGCTGCAAAGCAGAGAATACAAATTCTGAATATCTCATCGAAGTGCCAAGGAATGGTAGTCTATAAGGTTTCTAGAGAACGAGGGATGGAAATTAGTTAGTGGTGCCCATGACCTATTTTTACTAATTTAAACATGGAAGATAGCCATTAACAGCCTTTTCATTTGTGAGGGTCTTCCTAATGGCTCTCCCTAGGGTGTTCTCATAAGGGTCTTCTGTCCTCACCTGCAAATGACCATTACCCCACAGGAGGGGCGGGAGACACCCGGCTGTAACAGGGTGGGGAGGCATCACTACAGTGTTACTACTTCTGGATTAAAGCATTATACTTAGGCATAGTTATTATCCATTAAACAAAAGCTATGATGTTGAAATCCCCAACAGATATTTCAGTTGATAGAGACTTCAGATTTTTTTTTAAAGAGAATTAATGTTTTCTTGCTTGTCCTGTAAAGAGCTTGAGCTCAGACATTTGAATTTTACCGCCTTTACTAATTAACAGTCTCTTTCTATCAGAAAAAAAATAATAATAAGCTCTTTTCACTTTCTTTTTGCAGGAGAAAAACCTTACAAATGTACATGGGAAGGATGCACATGGAAGTTTGCTCGGTCTGATGAACTAACAAGACATTTCCGAAAACACCCTGGAATCAAACCTTTCCAGTGTCCGGACTGTGACCGCAGCTCCTCCCGTTCTGACCGCCTTGCCCTACGTAGGAAACGCCACATGCTAGTTTGAATGTCTCCGTCTCCGCCTCGGCACGCGGCTCCCCACTCGCCCAGCTCTCTCTGTCCTCCCTCCCGTTGTCTAACTCAGTTTTTACATGTACATTTTAACTTTGATTCAGCTGGTCTGAATCTCTGAATTTATATCAGTCAAACTTCCATATGGTCAGTAGTAAATATTCTCTAATCCTGCCTCCTTACCACGGGTCAGACCTAAAGAATGTGAACACTTTTTTTTTTCCGGGGATGCTAAGCAAACCCTTCTTACAGATAAGTTTAATGTAATGAGAACAAGGGAACATGTAAGCAAACAGAACCAGTTGTCCGTTTGTCCATGTATTCCTCAAAAGGATGTCAAAGTAAATGTGTTAGAAATACAGTATCCAGCCTGCTAGTCCTTGCCAGAGACAGTCACACCTCTGAGCCCTGTGATTGCATTTTGTGCTGCACCTAGAAAAGACGGGTGGACCCCATTCCCAGATCAGCTAGAAGGGCAGCAAGATTCCAGACGAGTACAGTCAGCTCTTCCATTATCCTTCACCAATCTTGCTTGTCAAGTTGGATTTATCACTTCATCGACATTAAGTCCTTTACCCTCCCTCGTGCCTGCAGCTAATAAGGAGGACTTTGCCACCAGTGGAAGGTAAGCTAGAGTTGTTGACGTAGGGAGGTGATCTGTCAGTTCAAGGGATGGAGGCTGTATTTGCATCGCATGGAGTTGGAGCAAAGGGGCATTGAGCAAGGGGGCAGAGGAGGAAGCCAGCCAGGGGTTTTCAGTGAGATTTCATCATTTGGTTAGCTGTGCAGTGCGTTCCTAGAACTTCGGGTCTCTGCCTATTCAACTGTGCAGGACCGTCCAGCAAAGCCAAATACTGATGGGGTTACCCATGTACCGACCTCCAGTCCTACAGTGTCCTTAATATAGATCATCAAGCATTGAGAGTAGGGACGCCACAAAAATATTTGCCCAGTAATGGTGAAGAATCTTTCGGATGGGGGTCTGAATGGCCTTCTTTACCAAACCTACTGAGAGCCCTTTTGCAAACAGGGATATGTTGAGTGGTAATTATATTCCCATATCAAATTACTCACATAGCTTTCATACAGAAAGTCTGTGTGAGTGACAAGGTGCCAAATTGGCTGTCATTGATGTTCATGACACATATCACAGATAAGCATCTGCTAAGTAGATTCATTAAGACCTGAGTGATGCTATTTGTAAATAGTTGTGAAGCACACAGACCTTTACTGGGGGGGACAGATTCCTAAAAAATAGAAAATCACAGTTCAGGGATTCATAGATGTAGCTCAACAATTCCCAAAGTTTACTGTCGGAGCTGGCACTCTCACTACCAAGTATCCTGTCAGAAGAACAAACTGAAAATGACTCGTGTTCATGTTCAAGACAAATAGCACCGTTATTTGGGGGACATTTCTCAAAAGTAGGCTTTTGGAGCTTTGGCGCTGTGTCAATGAAAGTAGTTGTAAGGACTGCACACCTAGAGGTCCCACTCAACAGCTGTCTGAACCAACTGAAAGGAAATGTACAGAAATGCAAAATAATTTGTTATCTGGCACTTGGTTTTTACTTTTTTTTTTAAGCACTGCAAAATTCATTTAGAATATTAAAACATCCTAATTGGGCCTTTTCTTTGTTGTTGTGTGTTTGGTTGCAACTAAGATATGAATTGAGGGGTTAAAAAAAATAGCTCTTGGGAAAGTAGGTATTGTCTGCATTGTAAATACTTAGTCACATTCATGCCAAAGTGTTTATTTCTTGAAATGGTTCTTCCACAACACACCGAAGAATTAAGTTTGAATGCAAGGGACATTTTTTGTTTTGATGGAGAAAACCAGTTTATGTATATTCTAACCACAGAAGGTGGGAAGGGGGATGAGAAAGGGTAGAGTTGATCTTTCTATGATGAGCTTTGAGTCTGAGTCCAATTAATAGAAAGCTTCATGGGTTCTAATGATATTAGATATTATGGCATATCAAAATTCTGTTCAAAAGTACAAGCAAAACCCTGCAGAGACTATTACATTATACTTAGCTTGCTTAGGTTATGTTAACAGTTGATTAACAAAGTTCCATTTTAACTGAAAGAACCATCCAGAGAAGCCATCATTCTCTGTTCCCTTGCTGTCTATATACTTTTGTTACCAATTGGCTCTCCAAATTTTCCTTTTATATATATATCTTATATATATTTGTATCTTACTATCATAGATGAGAAATTTAGTTTCTTAGTCGTTTTTAGCTGTTATTGTGGGAGACCTCAAATAAGATAAGATGCCCTTGAGTGTGTGGTTTTAGTGATGTGCCATCTTACTATCAATGGCGATTTTAATTGCAATATTCAAGTTAATGAGGATGATTTGTAAGCATGGAGCTAGTGTATAAATTGTTACAGAATTTATTCAGTTATTATCCAAGTGTCAGAAAAATTAAACCTGAATCCATCATATGTTAGAGTTTTAAAATGTGAATCTACATCGTAAATGGGCATTAAACATTCTAAAGCGCCTTGTTTGGAGAATGCCAGCAGCATAGCTACGTCCAGCTAACGAAATGCTAAACATGCAGAAGCTTCGAGAGCCTCGGGACAGATTTACAGGGAACTACATATGTACATGTATATTTCACTATTAAACACCCACCTGCACTATCAGTGTTGCACTAATGTGGAATTTGAAAGACTAGTATATTGCTGATACTGTATATCTGCACATCTTTCCTGGTTAGATTGTTTTAAGGACAATCTCAAAGATCTAAAGTTTTAAAGTAAACCCATTGGTTTGAAAATATTGTCATCTTGAAGGAATCACTGTCATACATGAAGTTGCTCAGAGCGGTATTTATTATCTTCTTGGTCAAGGTTAACAATTTCTAAATGATTGCAAATCCACTTATGAAATAATACATTTACAAAGCCATTTTCCATGCATTAAACGAGGGCTACAATATGTTTTACAAATACTAGCACTTTTTTTTTTTTTTTTTTGCTGATATGTACTTAGTGTTTAGAGGGTCAAAATAATCTTTCTGCTTAGCATCTCTTAAACCATACCTGCAAGTATAGCAGGATTATTACATTTACAGTACTTTAATACTTGTATAAACTATGCAGAAATTTTTAATAAAGTGTAATATATTTTATAAGCTAATAAGACTGAATGGGTAAAGGTTTTTAGCATGCATTAGTATACTTGCAAATACTGAAACATTTTGGTAATCTTTCTTACTAAAGATGTGAATGTTTAATGTACCTTCTCTGTTTCTACTCTGTAGTCCAATGGGAATTCAGTAATGACATTTTGTCATGTCAAACTGTGAACATAAATTTGTACTGTACAGTCCTCATATACTATATACAGTATGCAATATATGTATTATATACTTGTTAATAAAACCATCAGAATATTAAATGTGATCATGTGATTACTATAGATGCAGTGATCACAGGAACAAAACTTAGCGATGTAACACGTGAGAGACCCTGCTCAGAAATTTCCAAGCAAATCCCTCTGATAGGCAATCATTGTTGATGGAGGGAAAGAAAAACAGATCTAATTGGAAGGTGCACTAAAGAAATTAACTCAGCCCTAAAGCATTGTCCCTGGATTTCTGATTATGGCAACAGGAAATCTAAGCACAAACCATAAACCTGCAGACAACCCGGCATAAATCTACAAACTCATCTAATGCATTCTTGGAATGGTCAGTTATTTATGACCCTTGCCTGCTTCCAAAAAAACGTCAGTGCCTTGTATTAAGAGGCATGTGTTAAATACTTTGCTTTTTAAATAAGATAAAGGTGAGTCAGGCAAAAGACAGTGCATTAAAGTGAATAATTCTGGATAAACATTTTTAGTAAGCCATGTCCATGGACACTGCTGTGTCTGCAGCATCACAGGAACAATTCGTTTCTAATGAGGATTTAGAGTTATTTTGTTAAAAGCAAAATGTAATTACCTTCCCTGGACCCCCCTCCCCC